GTTTCTCTTTGAACACAGTTTTGCTCTAAGCCTGGTTTTAATTTAAACCCAGTTTCCCTTTAAACCCAGTTTTCCTTTAAACCCAGTTTTCCTTTGAACCCAGTTTTCCTTTAAACCCAGCTTTGCTTTAAACTCAGTTTTGCTTTAAACCAGTTTTTTTAAAAAACCGCCTTTAAAATCCCGCTTTGTTTCCATTGAATTCACTTTTAATTTGTTTGCTTTAAACCCGGTTTTGCCGCAAACGCGGCCTCGCTTCAAACCCGGCTTTTCTTTTAAACCCAGCCTTGCATTCAACCCGATTTTATTTCCAACCCGGTTTTCCTTTCGACCTGGTTTTGCTTCAGTCCCGGCGTCCTGTTCGGCCCAGCTTTTCTTTGAACTTGAGTTTGTTTTAAACCCCTCTCGCTTTAAACCCGAGTTTGCTTCAAGTCCAGCCTTTCATTAAACCAAACCCTGAATTAAACCCGATTTTGCTTTAAATCCGCCCTTCCTTTAAATCCACTTCTCTTTAAAGACGATTTTGCCTCAAACCCAGGTTTGCCTCAAACCCCGCTCTGAGTTAAACCCGGTTCTGCTTTAAACCCAGTTTTGCTTTAAGCCCGACTGCTCGTTTTAAACCCGGCTTTGCTCCAAAGCTCCGCCGGGCCTGGGGAGGCCGCGGGTCCTTCCCAAAGCCGAGCCCAACCTTCCCGCGGAGCAGCCGCTGCTCTGGGGCGGCTTCGGAGCCAAAACCGGGTCCAGTTTCACCAAAAAAAAATTAAAAAAATCGGGATTTAAGGGAAAAAGAGGAAAAGGCGCCGCTGGACGGAGCGGGAACTGCCCCGAGCCTCGGGGAGGGTTCCTTGGGAAGAATCCGGGTGGGAAACGCGAACCAGTTCTGAGCCCACAACACCCGAAAACCGGGAATCTGGGATTCAAAGCGCCCGGAAAACAGAATCCTGGGACCCGTGTAAGGGAATTTTGGGACCCGCCAGGGGTTTAAAGGGAATTTTCTCGGAGGGAAAGGCTCAAATTCCATCAGAGAATCCACGGCCGCGGGAGCGGAGCTGCTCGGGCTCTGTCCCGGGGGAGGGATGATCCCAATGGATCCCGTCTCGGGATCCCGGAAAAGAACTCGCCAAAAAATAATTCGGGAAGGATCCGGCGCCTCCCAGCGCGGAAAACCAGCCCCGGGATGTTGGGCGGTGCCGGGCCGGGATGCGGCCGGTGGGAAGGGGGGGGTGACTCATTCCCGGCTGGATCCCGGCAGATCCCGACGGATTTTCCACGCGTTTTTAGAGCAGGGTTGTGGGGAAACCCTCCTCTTCCTCGTTCCTGGGCTCCGGAGCCATTCCCGAGGGAAACCTCTCCCTGTTCCGCCGCTCTGATCCCAAAAACTCCTCCGAGGAGCATCGGGGATGCGACCCCCCCCATTCCCATTCCCATTCCCATTCCCATTCCCATCCCCATCCCCATCCCCATTCCCATTCCCATCCCCATTCCCATTCCCATCCCCATTCCCATCCCCATTCCCATTCCCATTCCCATCCCCATCCCCATCCCCATCCCCATTCCCATTCCCATCCCCATCCCCATCCCCATCCCCATCCCCATTCCCATCCCCATCCCC